TGTGTATATTAGAGCTGAGATGACCAGGCTTCAGCAATTCGTAAATCACTTGACTTTTTCAAGACCTATTTGCCAACTTCCTTGTTGGCTTAGCTCGCCCTGCAAGGCCGCCGTTTTGGTCCTTGTTGTTGCGCGGAAATTGGCTAGGATCGGCTCCATGGATTACCAGCGTTGAATGGTATTAAGGAAAGGATATCAGCGCCGTTGAACCGGTCACACTAGCCAATGAAGTGTAATGTTGACGTGTACCTTAAGGTAGGTAGGTAGTTTGTTCGAGGCAATTGAATATGACATTGCTGCAAACTCCTTCGCCCACTTTTTTGTTCCTTACCTAGACAAAAGGCAAGGAAGACAAAGAAGAAAAAGTAAACCTCCTTACTAAGTACCTTACCGACGGGAGTGGCAGGATTGACAGGGCACAGGGGTCCTGCAACTGTTCTTACCTTAAACCTTACCTCAGAGGCTGTCCCACCCCCGCCACTATCAACCTGGGTGCCTATCCTTCTATTTTAGTACGATAACTACTCCCCTCTAGCCCCTCAACAAGCGCTCCCGTGGGCTGTTCGGCCATTGAGACTTGCGCTCCGATGCCCGACTTTCCTCGCTGATCACTCAGTCTCGGCCTTTTTTTTTCAAGTACACAGGTCCCTCCAACTGACGGATGTCTTTCAGCTTCCTCGCTTTTTCTCCGGCTCCTACTAACTGAAAATTCCTCTCTCTTCTTAAAGCTTCAGACACTTGCTCCGTGTTTTCTTCATACATCGATTCCTTCGCTCGTCGAACACTTGAAAGCCGTAACCCAAACAATTCCATCTCACCCCTCGCGCGCGTCGCACTCGAGCCACTTACCGACCCTTCCCAAACAACGGATGCGCCCCCGATAATGAAGACTTGTGGCTTGTTTCTCCCTCGTTGAACCTGACGAGTCCCTCTCTTACCTTCGATCGATATATTCCTCTCTTCCTTGCTATTCAAACAACAACATGAAGGAGTTTCCAAGAAAGTTTCTCAGCAAGCGCGAAAAGAATGGCCGGCGATCTAAGTCGGCTACACCAGCGCCAGTTGTCCTAACGGTTCCCGACAGCACTAGCAACAAAAACAAGGTACGTTATTGTCTGGGTCGGAATTATTTGATGGGCGATCTATGGAACTGCACCCAGCAGCGAGCTTGTTATAGTCCAAGATGAAGTATTCTGACAAGCAGCTATCCAGCCTCGACCACTCTCCGCTGGGGCTTTCATGGCCTTATTCAAAAACGACAGCGCAAAACAAGGAGCAAAAGCAGAAGCAGAGAAAGAGAATGATACCGCACAAGTACGATTCGAATTGCGGCATGAAGGATCGTGTCATTAACTTTACCTTCTATTAGATCGAGGACATTTTACGCCGACTAGACGAGCTCAACATAACCAATGTCACCGCCGATCATGTTACCGACATCATGGCAACCAAGTTTGCAGACCACGACCCCAATAAGACAGTCGAGTTCATCGATATGGAGCAAAAGGCTGCAGCGGGTATTATCACCCCGTATGATCCCAGCGTGGATATGGTGGGAGCCGAAAACCGAGGCAATGTGACTTGCTATCTTGATGCACTTCTGTTCTCGATGTTTGCCAAAATCGATGCTTTTGAGTGTATGCTCAAGAATGATTTCCCAGAAGAAGACAATCGCAACAAACTTGTCAATCTTTTGCGGATGTGGGTTAACATGTTGAGGACGGGGAAATTAGTGCATACGGATATGGTGAGTGGCATAGGTGCAATCTCAGTGATGCTCAAACTAACATTTGAACAGACCAAGTTGATACAAGACGCCCTGGCTGACTGTGGATGGTCGGATGCACGGATGCTTGAGCAGCAAGACACCTCGGAGGCTTTTGCTTTCATAACAGAAACTCTACAGCTACCTCTACTTTCACTGCAAGTCGATCTCTTCCACCAAGGCAAAAAGGATAAGGATGACCACAAGGTTGTTTACGAGCGTCTCCTGAATCTGGCTGTACCTCCAGATCCTGAGGAGAAGGGTCTGAAATTAGAAGACTGCCTCGAAGAATATTTCAACGCCCAGGTCGACGTTAAGCGAGACAGCGAAGACGGAAAGAAGCTCGGGATAGAAGAGAAGAGTCGAAGTGAGACACCAACACTCAAGCATAGGGATACAATTCGCATCATTACCGAAGAACGCGGCGAAGCATCAACACCAACATCCCCTTTGGTAAATACACCGTTGGAGATAACGCCAACTTCGGAAAAGAGGACTCCTCTTTTGCTGGCAGATCCCAATTTCAAGGACGGAAATGCCCCTGATGATGAAGAAGAGGGAGAGGTTACGACTGTGGAAATAGTGAAGAGCAAGCCAAGTATGCGAACGAGGTCAACCAGCGTTATCCAGCGCGTAGTGTTGGATGAAGACGGTCGCCCCTCTACCCCAGACAATGTCACAATGCTTCAAAAGGCTATGAGGAAAGGCTCGACAGTTGTGAAGGCAGTTACTATTCCTGCCTGGCAGTTTTTCCGTCTGATTCGTAAGTTTGCGCCACCTCAATGAGCCCAGCATGGATATTAACATTTAGTTCAGCTTGGCATGCGCTTTCAAGCAGTGAGCCCAGAAATAACACGGAGGTCGCACTGAACTTTGAGCAAAGACCTGTTGTTGGCATCTGTCTCAAGCGTTACGCTATGACTGAGTCCGGCCAGCCGAAACGTCACAATACCTTTATTGACATTCCCGACAGTCTGAGACTACCCCATTTCATGCTGGCCGATGAACCCAAGGCCGAGGAAGATATGAACGTTCTCAACACGGACTATAAGCTCGTCCTACAGTCCGTCATCTGCCACCGGGGCGACTCACTACAAAGTGGCCATTATGTTTCGTTCGCCCGAGTGGCCCCTAAGTTATTGAAAGACAATAGACGGCATAATTTCGACCCACCACCGGATTACGAGGAAGCACAATGGGTTAAATTCGATGACCTCCAGATCGAAAACCGAGTCAGTTATGTGGAAGATATCAGGTCAGCATTGAAAGAGGAAATGCCTTATCTTCTGTTCTATCAGATTATGCCGATGGTCGAAGTCTCGCCTCCCTCTGTGGACGAGACAGAGACAGAACCGCCTTCATACAACGATTCAAAAATCAGCATTGAACTGCCTCCCACTCCTTCACGAAGCAACCGATTGGGTAGTCTGGAGGGAGGCTATTTTGATAGTACACCGACCTTGGAAAACTCACAACTTTTGTCTAGTAAACCACCAAGTATTCGCCTCTCTATGGAGGGCGAAAGGCCACGAAGAAGCGAAGACATCGATCGCAACCCAGGATCTCTAGCTGGGGACTCACGGCGTCCCAGCGCTGTTTGGACCGATTCGACCATACATACCCCCAACTCCCACTCTCCAGCTGTCACGCCTAACGAAGAATCGACAGCATCGAGGTTGTCACGAGCAGCATCTCGATTCACATTGGTTAACAGAAGTCGGCCCAGTAGCCAGAATGGAGAAAATCGCATTAGTTTCTCGATGAGCAGATTGAGCGGTCTTATGCGGCCTAGCAAAGAGCCTTTGGCGGAACCCAAAGATGAACCCAATGGCATCGGCATGTCTTCTGCCAACTCCACGGGTGTCTTGACGGCAGAGGTATCAAAAGAGTCGAGAGAATCAAAGGATGTCGTGGATGAGACAGAGCAACTCGCTGAGCCAGAGCCCGAACAGCATCATCATCGCCACCATGGTCATAAACATGGACATAAGAGGGTCAAGTCCAAAGACAAAGTAAAGAATAAGAGCGGCGACCAACCTGAACGAGAATGCACAGTGATGTAACAGCCATCCTGTTACGTCATCCTGATAATCACGTTACGAGAGAGAGAGAGAGAATGCAATTAGATTATACTTCACATACTTACGACTGTTCCGATGTTTGGACATGCATAGCTATAGGAGTCTCGATTTACAAGGAGGAACTGGCACGGGATCAAACAGATGAATAGGGAGGGGGTAACACAGCGACTTTGTTGTTAGTATGATGTTGGACAGCTGGCTACGCAGAGGCGGTCTTGTGATGTTGGTGCCCTATGAGGACCTCATTTTTTTTGGTTCCGTATTGGTCTTCCGAAAGAAAAAGTGAACAGAACTTTGGTAATTAGCAAGGCGTTTTTGGGCGGTTGTGGCAATTTGTTGTCACAAGGCTAACTTTCGAAGCTTGGGGGTACTTTGAACATGATACACGCAAGTATGAGATGATGAGACAAAAGAATCGGGGATGATACCGCACGCTAGAGGCGAGCAAAGTCTTTATTGTTTGATTTTAGAGCCTCAAAGTGCTTTTAGGTGACAAAATATCCCGTGATAACGGCTACCATTTGTGCTGAAGGACATTGTGCGAAAAGAAGTCGAACAAATTCATGATCATGTCTCGCATACACCCCATGAGAAGGCGAAAGAAGTAGCTTCAAGTATGTCTATTTCCTTGTACACATATACATGAGCAGGGAGGCCATCTCTTCGTAGCTTGCCCTGATATTCACCAGCTCATCCAGACCCATCAACACGTCGAACTAAAACAACCGCAGCCGCCATGAGCGCCGAGATGAGAAGTTCGTTCAAAACTATTTAAAAACAAGAACAGTGCGATGACCGACTTTTCGTCCCTCCGTGATGTGCGTTGCAGGAAATTCATACACATGATCAGGACGATGCAAGTCCACGACAATAATATACACAGATACCCTACTTCCAAGCACATAGGGATTGGACCGGGACATAATGCTGGCCAGGTCACATAAGCACGAGGTCTCCCTCGGGCTCGGAAGTCATGGTATCACCAGAGACGAAAAGGACGACTAATAAGACATCGAGTGTGGGGAGAAGGGTTTGGGGTGAGGTCGAAACTTCGTCCTGGCCTGCTCACAGTTGAGCAATCATTAAGATATATCACTCATTTGAGCGGGGAGTGCCGCGTCGTCACGGATTTTCGAGGAGTTTAAGCTCAGGGCTTAAAAGGGAATGTTAGGGGGAGGCTGGGAGCCAAGAGACTCCTGTTGTTCTTGGAGCTCCTCAGGGGCTGCCTCAATTGAGACGCCCAACCCAATCTTAGCTTGATGCTGGAGTGGTTGTCAGTACATGGTCGAACGGTCGGGAATAAGGGCACAAACCGTGAAGTGATCAATATCAGCAGCAAATGTCATCATAACGGGTGGCGCAACACGCTTTTCCAGAACGCAGCTAAGCTTGCCCTTGGAGTCCACCTGAGCTCGGAAAGTAGACATGCGGAAATCGTACTTGGCACCAATAGTGGTGACGCCCTCCTTCTGAAGGCCACCACCCATGAGGCCACCGGCAGAGGGAACGAGGCCAAGGCTCAGATCAACACCGGCCTGAACCTTGTCCGAGAGTCGTCGCCAGTAAGAAGTGTTAAGGGTGCCCATAGCAGCTTGAAGCTGAGCGGTAGCGATCCAGTCTGCAGACTTGTACCGGGCAGCATAAGAGACAGCGCACTCGGGGCCTTGGGTGAGAGCAGGTCGCTGCCACAGAGTTTCAAGACCTAGGGCAAGTTTAGGAGTAACAGACTGGAGGTAGCTTCCGATATAGATGCCAGTCACACCACCCTCAAGGTAAGAAGGGTTCAGCATCTTAAGAGATGCGCTGAAATCGTTGCCAGTATACTCGTGCTCAAACTGCGCCATATCCTGACCACCAGGAGAAATGGAGATCTGAGACTTGGATACAAACTTGTCGGACCATCTCCAGTTGAATCGACCGGAGAGAGAACCCTCGTTGTCCAGATTACCTTGGCAGAAGACCTGTAAATGTATCAGCGACCTGCTATGTGAAAATATCATGGCACATGGTAGCTACCTTGCCTGTTCCGTACATCGCAGCAAATGTGTAGGGGTTAATGCGCTCTCCCATGGCAAATTGGTGGGAAACCTGGAACAGAGGAGCCATGCTAAAGATCTTTGTGAGATCGGCACGCATTCCGGTGAACATATAATTGTTGAGGAAGACATCGCGTTGAACCTCCTTGGCAAGACTCTCGATGGTTCCTGGGTTGGAGAGGCCTAATTTGGCCCTTCGCTCATTAAACGAGTTGAGGGCATCTCCTAAAACGCTAGCGATGGGATTGGAAAGCAGGGCCGTCTTAACGGGATCCAATGCGGCTGCGGAGGCCATTGTGACTGAGGTGCGCCGAAGCGAGGACGGGAAGAGGTCGGAGAGGTGCGAACAAAGAAATAGTGGACAGCGACGGTGAACGAGCAACCAGTCGGAACGAGATTCGGTGATGCGAAATTAGTGAAACAGAAGGAGTTATTAGAATACCCTCGAAAACGATTGAATGCCGAGGCCTCAGAACGCCAGGATCGTGATGACGAGCGCAGTTGGATGGAGATGGAGAATAATTTTCATCTGGCTTGGACAGCTCTTGGGTGGGGAGCACGAGCCACCTATGATGCCGAGTCGGCTGTGGCGCTTTCCATCCAACTGTCCATCCCGAGAGATTGTGGCTAGTACAGCCAAACGCCCGAAGATACCCTACAGCTGGAGGGGAAATGGAAAGTGCAGAGGCGTCCCAGCTGTTCACTGTACAGAGTAAATCGAGTACCTACCAATGCTACGCCAGAAGCGGCTATGTTGTGGTAGAGCAAGGTACTGTATACTTCCTGGCGGTTTCATATCTCAAGGATTTAGGGTTTACCTGCACTAACTTTACAACGCATATCTGAGATATGACGTCCCCTCCTCGTGGGTACAGATACTTCAAAGAGTACCTGCACCTGATCTCCAACACCCATCCTGTGGCATAACTTAGTACTAAGGTAACTAAGTTATTCTTCAACACCAACCAATTACTACTTTCTGCTCCTCGTTCCCATGTTCACCGAGGTTATCGCTCTCGTGTTTTACTGCTAACGCGAAATTTCCTTTTGATCAACCCAAGGCTCCATCGTAGTAGCATCAGACGACTGGCCTGTTCGCTTTTAAATATTGACCCCGCCGGCAAAGACCGGCTTCTGCCACTAACTGTTTCTTGAGGCTCACCCTTGTTGAAGATCCATCACACTCAACGATCGAGGCTGTTGAGGGCTTCGCCAAAAACGAGGCGCGGAAGTCCTTCTTTTCTCGCTCTACTGCCAGTAGGACTGTGTTTATCTGACCTCAAAGAAAGCCTGAACTGTCTCTATACTCCCAAGTTACCGCCAACCGTCCGTTTTGGCTGAGCCTCAGAGTCTCTGGTCTCTCGAATACGGCCTTGCTCACAAACGTCTTCCCATACAAGCATCTTGTATAGGCATCGCTGACGAGAGACAAGATGGACACTCTTCTGTATGTTGCTATCCCTTCTCATCTCTTCCCTTCACTTGTCCCTCCCTGTGTCTAGATAATTTCCTTATCTTTCAACCTCAAGTCGGTGTCATCTTCATTCCAAGAATCACGGAACTCTGTGATTTGGAGTGTCGCTTTATGCCGATCCTGTCTTTCTTCGAAATTTCGCCAAAGGCAGATATTTTTTGCCTTGTTCGTTATAGCTAGCGACGAAGCTGATGTTGACAGAACCGCCGAGATTGCGGCCAATGCCCCTCGGTACCGTCGCAAGAGCTCTACGTTTATTGATGCCATTCATGACATTCCTCATGGTCAAGACTTGGCCCCAGCTCAGCTCTACAGTACCATGTCTGGCCGATTGTTTCACTCTGGCCGCATCGCAATTGTCATGGTTGGACCACCTGCACGTGGTAAAACGTAGGTTTCATGATTCTGTGACTGGTCTAAGTTAACAACCTTCCAGACATATCTGTGTTTCCATGGCACGTTATTTAGGGTGGCTTGGTGTGAAGTCTCGTATCTTTCATCTCGGCGACTACCGTCGAGCAACTGTTGGCCCGGATGGATCTATTCCCGATGATTATTTCTTCCCGAACGCATCGCCTGCATCTGTCATTCTGCGCCAGAAAATCTTGAAGAAATGCCGTGAAGACATATACTCCTGGCTGAATCATGACAACGGCCAAGTAGCCATTTATGATGCAGTGAACCCCACTGCTAACGGACGGCGTTCGCTGGCCAAGGAATTTGCGAAGCACGATGTTCAAGTAAGTCACCACCCATGTTGTCGGATCTTAGCAATCGCTGACGCAGCAGACTCTTTTCATCGAGTCTTTTGTCGACGATGAACGCATCCTCCGTGAGAATGCAAGAAATGTCAAGATTTCATCCCCAGACGTGAGTACATAAGTTACCATCTCCCTGACCCAACTATGACTAATGCTGAACGTTGACTACAGTTCGCTGGTATGGAACCCGATGAAGCCGCTAAGCTATACCTTCAGAGAATTGAGATGAAGATCCCCGTATTTGAAACCATGAATGAGAAGGAGTTGAACTACATCAAGATGATCAACGCCGGGGAAAAGTTCTTCTACAACAACGTCAGCTTCAATTATCTTGCTCACCGAATCGTCTTCTACCTCACCAACCTGCATATCAAATCACGGAAAACCTTCTTCGCCCGGGCTGGTACTACAGCAGAAGAAGACTCGTACAAAGCGGATGCCCCTCTGTCCCAAGAGGGGAGAGATTATGCTCAAAAAATGTCCGAGGCTCTTTTGAAGCATCGAGAGCAGGAACGCCTGACAAACATCGAGGAAGGAGGTCCAGATATTCCTGTACCCCCACTCACCGTTTGGACATCGACTCGTATGCGTACGGTGCAAACTTCTGACGTCCTGAAGGAGAAAGGCTACAAGGTTCGTCAGCGAACACAACTCAGTCAAATCAACCCAGGCGTGTGCGAGAAGATGTCAGAGCGCATGATTCGCCAGATCTACCCCGATGAGGTCGAAAAGCACGAATTAGACCCTTACCACCACCGATATCCGCGTGCAGAGGTATGCTTCAACTACGGGTTGGTGAAGTTTGCCATATTCTCAATGCTAACTATCAATAGTCATACCACGATCTGGCTGTTCGCCTTGAGCCCATCATTCTCGAACTCGAGCGAGAACAGCACGACCTTCTCATTATTGCCCACGAATCCGTGCTTCGGGTTCTCTACGCTTATTTAATGCACTGCTCTACCACTGACATCCCAGTCATCAATTTTCCACGCGATGAGATCATCGAGATCATCCCAGCAGCATATCAGAATGAGGCTAAACGTATACATATTCCTGGCCTGGATCCCCATATCGTGCCTGGGTCACCTCAAGATATTAAAATTCCTGTTCCTAGCAGCGGAGTTGTGAGCGCACAACTGTCCCCTATCCCGAGTGGCATTGGAACTCCTGCTGAGCATGTCGAGCGACCTCCCGAGAAAGTCATCAACACTGCCAAGGATATGGTTGCTGACAAAGTCAACGATGAAGACTAGTCTTGTAAATCTTGCCGCCTGGAAGAGTTCACATGTTTGGTTACGAGGTACCGGCTACTTCCCTCGCCTGTTGTCTTCTCAGCAAGTAACATTACCACGCTACTATCAGTTTGGCCCCTCCGGGTTAACATACTGATCATGATGTGTTTCATGATCAGGCACCTGGTTTTGACAAGTTATGTATATGATAGGCGTGTTTGCCTGCTTCTTTCAACATGCATCTCGGTTTACTAGCTCTCAAGTCGATGAAAGATGCCTTGACTTCACAATTCTTTCATTTCTCGGCTCAAAGCGAGGCTAAGAAAGCTATGCATCATTGATCGGCACTATGAGTTCTTTGCTTCGTCGCGGCTATGGGTTGTTGTTGTATAATAATATGTAGCTAGCTATATGTAACGTGATACGAGCTCTTCACAAGAGACGGATATATATGTCCTAGCCTCCAGGGTAGCCTCAACCACACCAATGTGACATGACAAGCTTCGGGATTTTTTATTTGTCAGATTGGACATGTTCTTGTCGGAAGTCTGCCTCACTACCTAGACACATCGACAAGATGCCAGCCTGTGTCAGCCATGGGTTTGGGGCCAAACGATTCAACTAATGAAAAAGTTCTGAATCTAGTGCTTGCAACGGTTCCATTGTGTTAAACCTTAGACACTCCTGAATAGTAAAAAGCTAATAGAGGTTTTCGTACGCAATGCTGCGTCAACTTAGGCGTAGTTCCATGCCCCAGGCATAACACTTTATCCAAACATGTTGCGTTGGCAGGAGTCACCTCAGAGCAGTCTAGGTTAGGGCACATGCTTATGCTGTGTTACATACCTACACATTCAAGTCAAATAAGGATAAAATCTCAAGGATTACAGTCGTGCAAATACAACGCTGTGGCCTCCCGATGCCTTGTACCTGGAGAATGGCCCGGGTTTGGATCAAGAAGATGCACGTCGCTGGATAGGGAAGCGTGTGCACAGGGGCTAGGGGGGCCGTGAGCTGTTACCGTAGGACTGATGAGATGAGTGTGCCCTTTGGCTGTCTGGTTTTTTTCCTCTCGGGGGGTACATATGCTTATGGACGGCCATGTGATCAGCATCGCTTCATGACTGACAATCAATCAATAGAGAGAGCATGTACTACACCAGCGGATCTGCACATTCATCTCCAACCATAGTCATCATATCTACATCATTCGTCTAGTATAGAAGAAAGAAGCCCTGGCAGATGTAGTAATGTAAGAGAGATTACTCCGTTACATTTGTCAGATCATGGGTACATGGTCTAATCTGTACAAGAAAGACTTTGGAACCGGGGAACGGGGGTGAAGCCCCGGGTTACAGTCATATATGACAAGCAGCATCACTACCTGCATACGAACATATACTAGGACCATACTGCACACAATATCAACCCTTGCATTGCCGGACGAGTGAGCGCTCTGGCAGTGAAATAAAATAACGCTTGCCAACTCCAGCCATGCTCTACAATTTTCCGTGGTGGCGATATAACAGTAACGACGGTATGTGAGTGAGACCAGTGATAAACATCCAATAGAGTTGCGAGAGAGTTCATTTATGGCGACATATGTCTGAGATTGAGTATTAAGTCTGTTGTGTAGGCAGTAATTCTACGACAGAAACCAAGGGCTGGTGTAGGAGAAGGATATGTTAGCACGACAAGGACCCAACAATACTTTGAATGGGACAGCATAAAGTCATTCCTCTGGGAGGTCTGGAGGAAGTCTTGGTCTCTTTAGATACTGTCATAAACTAACAGAATCCCTGAAGAGTCTGAACAGCATGCCATC